ATTTTAGCTAGCTGGAGCAGAGTTGTGAGTTCGATCTTACGGTACGGAGGCACTCTCACCACACCGCCAGTAGATGCGGGCCTAAGTACGAACGAGCTCTCGCTCATTCAACTTTCCCATTCAGGTGCTATCCAGAAGCCCCCCAGCTGCCCCCCAACTGTAGCGCCACTTACGGAGGCTTGCGTGGAAGGCCGGTCGCCCAAAGTGTATTTGTGTATACGCATTGCCGAATGTACCGCGCGCAGTTTCCATCGATGCCTTCAACGAATAAAGTCCATGCTACCACCATGTAGTTTTAAAGTTACGAATACGGCTTTATTTGTCATCTTTATTTGGCTGAACATCAACCTTGAACATTGACAGAACATAATATTGGCGACGAGGTCGAGATGATTAGTTTGGTTTTGGTTTGCCGCAGTTTGCTGAAATAAAGACTTGAAAAAGTTTCTCCAGCAGAGATCCGACATGGTTTGGAATTATGCCTGTACACGTGCAGTTTTTTATGAACGCTTTGCCGTACAGCACGTACAGCTATGGAGAATAGTGCATCAGCATGTATTCAGCAAATGAACCGAACTAATGGAGCTGAGTTTGCCTAATTTGGATGAAAAACTCTTTAGCCAGGAGATCCAGCAGTTGATCGTAGGTGAGCGAGTATTTGTTTTTGCTGATGTTGCCTCATCAGTTTAACTTTATTAGCCGCAGTTGGATGAATAGTGAATGGATGCCCCCAACCTAACTTTCAACTTAACGATCAACCAGTGGCAGTGCTGCAGTAGTAATACAGTAGGCCATGCAACTCAGTGGCAGTAGCCAAGCCCATGAAAGCTCCAACCAAGTTCAAGGTCCAGCCCAGCCAGCCAGCCCCAATTCAGCCCAGCCCATGGTCAGCCAGCCGCCCGCCAGCCAGCCAGCCCAGCAGCCCGCCAGCCAGCCCCCCCGCCAGCCCGGCCCCAGGCCAGTCCGGCCCAGCCAGCCCGGCCCAGCCCGCCAGCCCCGCCCAGCCAGCCAGCCAAGCCAGCCAGCCAGCCCAGCCCAGCCCAGCCAGCCAGCAAGCCAATTTAGCCCAGCCCGCCAGCCAGCCAGCCAGCCCGCCAGCCCGCCAGCCAGCCAGCCCAGCCAGCCCAGCCCAGCCAGCCCCGCCAAGCCAGCCCCGCCCGGCATACATTGTTTCAGAATCCAGGTTCCTGTAACTAGATCTACTGCAGCGTAGACTGGAGGAGGAAGTGTTTTGTTTACTTTTAGCCTTAAAATTGAAATACAGGAAGTTGTTACTTCGTGATTGCCTTCAATTTAGGACCAGGATCCAGTTCAGTGACAGTGTCAGTTGACTCAGTTCATAGTTTCGGACTAGTAGCAACCCACCCAAGTGAAAGCCAGACCACTCATCATGAAGTGATGGTGATGTTGATGCAAGCAAATAAACATTTAGAACTCATTTGATAATATTGTCGATTGTTATGATGAATCTGTTTTGTAACTGAGTGTAAGGACCAGTCCCAGACCAGGACTAGTACCATTACAAGTTGAAGTGTAATTCAAGTGTGAAGATGTGGATCTAAGTAGGTCTACAAGTTTAGAGAACTTTAGACATTAGTCTCGGGTTTTTACAGTGTAAATAACAGTAGAACCTATTAACAATCAGACAATAATTACGTCTAGTCTTTGCAGTCTAGTCCAGGTCTAAGTCAAGAATTTTGTTCTTCAGTTGTAAATTGCTTGTCAAAGAAATGTGTATGTGTTAGATACATGTGTGGAAGTGGAAAGAGCCCAAATGTTGTTGTTGTTTGGTATTTCAAGTCAAATATTTATGCAAGTATTTGTTATGGTATAAGTTGTTCATTACAAGTTTAATGCGCCTTATATAAACATGGCAGCACAAATGTTTGGTAATGTCCCTCAGTTGGACTCAGGGTATAAATTTGAAGATTGGATTGAGGTTCTTGAGTCATGGTTTATAGCTAATGATATTACAGCAGATGCAAAGAAGAAGGGTATATTCTTATCAGGATTAGGAAGTAAATCCTATGCCACATTACGTGCATTGTTGCAGCCCAACAAACCAATTGATAAAACTTACCAAGTATGTAAGGATACCCTGTCTGAACATTTTGCCCCCCAACCAACTGAAATAGTCCAAAGGTATAAGTTTTATACTTGTGTTCAAGAATCACGTGAAACAATCCCGCAATTTGTTGCTCGTTTACGCCAGTTGAGTGAAGGATGCAAGTTTAAAGAATTGAATAGCATGCTTCGAGATCGCCTTGTAGTTGGTTGTAAGGACAAAGCTACACAAAGAAAGCTTCTTAGTGAATCAGAGCTTACATTTGATAAAGCGTTGAAAGTAGCCATGGCCATGGAGATAGCTAATAGAGATGTTGAACAATTGCACTCCAGTGACAATGGTAGTGAAGACAAAGAGGTTCACCAGTTAAGAACCACGCAGATGAAAGAAAGGTCTTCAAGCAAGTGGAATTCCAAGCTTACTGAGAAGGAAAAGCCCACAGGTCAGTGGACTGACCAGAAGTTAAGGTGTTGGCGTTGTGGATCGACAAGACATGTTCATCAATCCTGTCCGTTTCAGAAAGAGCAATGCTATCAATGCCAGGAAATTGGACATACTAAAAGCCAATGCAAAGCAGTAAAGAACTATTTTGCAAGATAATTGTATTTATGCCAAGTGAAACTATTGTAGATCAAACTCTATTTGTTATGGGGTTAAATATGTTTTTTAATTTTGTATTGCATAAGTCTGCAAAAGTGCAACAGGTATTGTTTATGTGTTACATTATAAGGCAATGATTAAAAGGTAAACATTTATTTTCTTTAGCGATGAAAGCTAATTTGGTGCATTCATCACAAGTGTTGATGTTTTAAAAGTAACAGTGTAAATTGTTCCACATTTTATCAAAAATACTACACGATTTTCATGGAGAAAATGTCACTTATTTTGGTTTGTTCTTTATTATGCCAGGAGATAAGTTAGTTGATAAAGTTTGGATCCAATCAGTTTTGTATCAAAGTACAAGGATTTTGTTTTATTTTCTTGCCATGTAAAGTTTTCATGCATAAAGTAATGCATAAAGTACTGCATAGAGTAATGCATCAAATAATGCATATGTTGACTATTTTCACGGAGGAAAAGTGTTGTTCCTTGGTGTCAAACAACCTTCAAGTAAAACTTAGATCAGTAAAAATAGGTTGTTATAACAGTGAACATTTTGTGTTGTTGTATTTACATGCATACAAGCAATGTTGCTAGTTTATGTTATACATGGAATAGGATTTTTTTAATAGAATCAAGTTGTGTGAGTACATTCCTATCTTGCCAGTGTCACATCTCTATACAAACATTTTTTGAGAAAATAAGACCATATTGTTATATAGTTCTGCCTAGTCTGCATGCCAGTTTGATACATGTATTTCATTTTGATGTACCCATGTAATTCACTAAAAGGGGGAGGAATGTTATGTATGACGTCTGAAATTAAGACTATGCATGTCTTGACTTGTCATTTTATGTATACGCATTGCCGAATGTACCGCGCGCAGTTTCCATCGATGCCTTCAACGAATAAAGTCCATGCTACCACCATGTAGTTTTAAAGTTACGAATACGGCTTTATTTGTCATCTTTATTTGGCTGAACATCAACCTTGAACATTGACAGAACATAATAAGTATGTTCCTAAAAAATAGATCAAACATTGGTTATTTTAGTTGGTTGTTTTGGGATTCAAAATAGTTGAATTGTAGTAAGAAATGAAATAAAACAACAAAAACAATAAAATACATACCGGTATTAAAGTTAAAACAAGGGAAAAGCTCTTGGTGGTCTCGCCTGCATTACGCAATTCAATATGATGAAAAATTGAGGTTGGGACATTATTCATAGGCAGGGTGGCCCATTAGCAGGCCCCCCCCCCCCCCCAAAAAAAAAAAAAAAAAAAGGAAATCCTCTGAAAATAATCAGCACTTGTGTACAAGTTTCATGGAATTTGAACAAACACTTTTGAGTTTTGAAATTATGCTAAAAATTCAAAATCTTGATGTTGATGCCACAAAAGAGTCTAAGTTTGTTGACCTAAAATGACCTTTGACCTCAAGTTAGTGATCTGAAATTTTACTCACATGCTAGGGATACTTGATAACCCTTTGGTCTAAGTTTCATTGAATAAGAACTTATACTTTCGAAATTATATTAAAAATGCAAAAACTTAACCCGAGGTTAAGTTTTCGATGATGATGCAACAACATAGTCTAAGTCTGTTGACCTGAAATGACCTTTGACCTTGATTTTGTGACCTGAAATTCTACTCACATGATTGGAAATACTTGATAACCCTTTAGTCTAAGTTTCATTGAATGAGAACCTATACTTTCAAAATTATACTAAAAATTCAAAAACTTAACCTTAAGTTAATTTGTTATGTTGATGCTGTCGCCGCCGCTGCCACCGGAAAAGCCGCGCCTATAAATTATGTCTCGCTTTTTGCTATGCAGGCGAGACAAAAACAATGAAATACATAATAAATTAACAAAACAATAGATAACATAAGGAATAAGCTGGCTCTTCCAATTATTATTCCAAAAGGTCTTATGAATATATGTAGTGAAAAAGAATGCTTAAATATGAATATTATATGATTTATGGGTAAAAATAAATTACCATAAATATGCAAATGAGTAATTTTTTCAAAAATTGAAATTATCATATTATTCTATTTACTTGACATGCGTGCAAATTTTCGCGGAGATCGGCCGTTTCACGGCCGAGATCTTAAGGGGGGCCATAATGCCCCCCCCCCCCCCCCGCCGTACTAAGACTTCAAATAGCCCGGCCTTTTTAACAATTTTGGGGGTAAAAGTCCATAGGCTAACATGTTAGGCTGCTGGACTCTGACGATAGGGGGCATTGTCAAATGAGACTAATCGGAGCTATATGTGCACACCCCACATGCCCACGCCACTCACGCACACTTAAATCTACAAGTCCTTACCTTTACATTCAAGTATGCGTAATAGATCGTGAGCAAGATAAGCAGTCTTCGCTGTATCAGGATCGTACCCACACAGGAGGTATCTATCCCCTTTCTCCGTATATCCATCATCACACGCCATGCCGAGGAATTGTTCGTATTCAACACTGTGGACGTCACCATGACTCACCTGACTGCTTTCACTTTTGGCTGTAAACACCCCCACAATTCGGCCATTTTGGGGGGCCGCAATGCCTTGATCAGCATAATCACAGGGAGCTGTAATTAAAGAATATATAAATCATTAGTCTCATAATTATCGATCAGTCTTCATGAGCCTTCACTCTCCCGATGGGTCCGCTCATCTGTTTGTATAACAGAACAAAAGTGAAAGTAATTATCATCAGGCGCGGGATCCAGGATTTCTTAGGGGGGGGGGGAGGCCCAATTTGAAATCAATTTGAAATTAAGTGTGCTGAAATTTGAAAATCGTGCCAGCTTATATTGCGCTCCGTGGGGGGGGGGGGGGGGGGTAGTGAGCACTAAATTTTCTTTTTCTTTCTTGCCCCCGAAAATTGGAAAATCGCGCCGGCCGATATTTCGCTCAGTGGTGGGGGGGGGGGGGGGGGTGGTGAACAACAACAAAAAAGGGTAAAATTTTGGTCACAATTTTTTTTTGGGTCTGGAGGTGGGGGCCGGGGGCCACGGCCCACTCGGCCATCCCCCTGGATCCGCGCCTGATTATCATGGCAGCACCAGATGCGAATCTCCCAAGGGCTAGAGGGTTTGCTCTTCTTTTTCATTTCTGATATGAGCCCCCTTTTCACTCACTGTCCAATTTTTACTTTTGGGGTTTCTCTTTGACTCCTTGCTCGTTTGTCTTCCCAAAATATCCCTTCTTTTTTTGCATAATAACATCATACCCGGTTACGACTACAATGCTTGGAAATGACAAATTTACCGATCTAAACTTGATATGAACTGACTGTGGACGGGGTACAGATGAGATGGACGTATTGATGACTGTTTATGAACGAACTACGATCGTATTACAGACATCATTTACACATTCTACCCAGTCCACAACCCGTTTTATTTTTCTATCACGGTTCCAGAACGCAGTGAGAACTAGCTTGGTGTGATGGGGGTTTCACCGAAGCAAAACCTCTCTCATATATTTGCCCCGATAATATATATTCAAAGGGGTAACGCATGATCGTTAGCGAAGTCGAAAATGATCCCCTTTCTGCAGACTTTCAAGAACGTTTTTAAAAAAAGTATAGGCCTACACCTTTTTGCCTAAAAACAGGTAAAAAATGTCCTCTAAATATGACCCTAGTTTTTGCTCAATAATGAAGTGACACTACCGGGAGCTACTCTCGCTTGCAAATGTATCTGATTATGATTCATCACAAAATATGGGAACATCGGTATACCGTAATCGTCTACTTCATTCCCTAATAATGAGATTGGGCTTTATAAAACCCGATAAAATGTGGTCATTTTCTGTAATAATTTGCTCTGTCGCACTGCAAAAGGAATATATTGGAACAAAACAAGTGTTTATTTAAAACCATTTTATTTTTCTAATTTTTTTAATTTGTTGCAAATTTTAGTCATGGGATGTGCAGTACGTATAGGTCCAAATAAGGTCAAAGTGAAAAGTTGCAAATTGCACTGCTCTTCTTCAACTGTGCATTTAAATTGCCCTATATTGCCCGGGCCTTTTCAACAGTTGTTAATCTAGGCATGATCCTTGAGAAGTAATGCTACGGTCACAAAGGTTCGTACAAACAATAATTTTGTACGAACCTCCCTGTTTTTCCATGGTCTTCCCGAATTTCTATTGTCTGAAAATCGTTCGTACGGCGTTCGTAGCAGTTCGTAATGGCATTTGTGACCGAGGCTTTAATGACCAAACAGGAGCGAATGTTGCCTGACATATCGTTATAGTGCATGAATTTCAATTTCAGATTCTTTAGAATACAGCATTCATGGATGACTAGTTGGGAACAATAGCCCCACTGTCATTTACAAAAAGCACACTCCTTAATGTCAAAGAAAAAAAGAGTGCTATGCATAACAATACCAGTGCTTACCAGTTCATTTTGCAACTCTTCACTTTTGACCCTGCCCCTTTTTCGGATGTATTACTCACTCCATGACTAACAAATCATAACAAATGTATCATTTAAAAGTGAAATAAACACACTTTATCATTATAATAACCAAAGCGATAATTATGCCATGATAAGAGAGCTATAATGGATCCAACTTCAGTTTTCAACTTTTTTTTGGAGGGGTTTATGACTCTATCCATCTTGGAGGAGCAGCAATGCTGAAGCATATTGTTAACGTTTCCAATTAGCGAGAGTGATCTAAAATGATGATATTTACTAGTGACATTTGTATAGCGATTTACTTGTATTATTACCCTGGTCATTGGATCCAATTACAAATCACTCCCTGAGGAGTATTCCGGCGAGGCACCATTTTAATAACACACACAATCCAACAACCTTAACGTTCGCATCCTACCGGGTACCCATAAATCACCTGGGTGGAGAGTGGAAAATGCCAAAGGACATTAGTGCCGCGGCAGGTCTCAAACCACGAACCATGTGATCCACAGTCAGGTGACGTGTCCACTAGACCATGACACCTTAGGTCTAAATAATAGGAGTAAGACCGTTACTTTCTTATCATCAATGACTCTAAGTCTTTATTCTTATTAAACAGTGCGGTTTCAGTGCTATGATATCTCATGATGATAGAACGAAGAAGACATTTACAGTTACATCGATATCAACCGTTATTACACTGGCCTCCAACAGTTTGGGTACACCTGTAATCAGAACTTTTGTTGTTGTAATAACCCATATTTTACTTTATCAGATTTGTGGCACTGCAACAGTAAGTTTGGTATCAAATTGAAGAGTTGACATCAGCCTTCGAATTGATACCAGTTTAACGACTGTGAAGCGTTTTAGGAAATAGCAATGCATTTTTTTTTAAAGGCATCCTACCCCCATAAATACAATTCCCAGGAGAATGAGGAGGTTTCTGGTTGGGTCGGGGTTTGACCACTTGACCGAAGGCCCCGCGTTTTTATATGCTGTTTTTATATGCTCAAGGGAAATTTGCCTCCCTGCTATCACCCCGAGGCGCGCATGGGTAGGTGGCGCGCGGCACTCCAGCAAAGCATAGAGAGTCAATGCTAATGCGTATTGACCTTTAGCACATATGTGCTGAGAGGCAGGTATTATACACAGATACACACACCACACACTATTGCATAGACTGCACACAATAGCACCGATTGGGCTGATCGGCAAATTTGACACTAGTCGACGTCTACTACTAGACTACTCGTAGATCTAGTCTACTAGGTCTAGGCCTAGATCTAGTCTAGATTAGACTGAAAATTTCAGTCTCTCTAATCGTCGGTTGTTCCACTGAGACTACGTCTGGCTCCACTAGACCTCCGATTAATGACAACAAATGTCAGTTTTATTAAAGAAATGACCCAAATCAGATGGTTATTGCTGTCTAGTCTAGATAGACTTACAATTTCAATTTTAATTTTAAATTATTCTTTTTAACATCAGTAAGTTGAAAAAATTGTATTTTACCGCTATTTAGGTGTCATCATAGCAATTGTCACTAAAGTACCGATTTTTAGTTAAATCACTTGAGTTTTGTACAGTGGTGTCAGGGGCGGATCTAGCTTTTTGCTAAGGGGGGGGGGTTGACCAAAATAATGACGATGCAGAGCATCGTCCACGAGCCGCGTAGCGGCGAGCCGATTTTTTTTGGGGTGTTTATTTGAACCCCGTAAGGGATGTTTTCCTGGCATCTATTAACACAATGGAGACCATAAAAAGCAGTGCATGATAACGTCTTTTTAAATCAAGTAACAGCTTAATACACAGTTATATCCAGCCTTTTTATCATGTGTTTGGTTAAGTTACCAGATGAGTTGAATATCTTCTCACAATATTTGCACTTGAAAGGGTTTCTCTCCAGCGTGCGTTCTTTTTTCTTTCTTTTTTTTTTTTTTTTTTTCTTTTTCTTTTTTTTTTTTTTTTTTTTTTTTTTGGGCCGCCCAAGGGGGGGGGGGTTTGAACCCCCTAAACCCCCCCCCCCCGTAGATCCGCGCCTGGGTGTTTGAAATGTTGAGAATAAATAGCACAGCTTTTAATACACAGCCAGGATAGTAATGCAGCTATGTGTGGCGCGCCGAGGGGTGATAGTTAGCAGGGGGCTGTTTTTGAAACCGTCATAACTACAAGATCAACGACATCTCGACATTGTCACGCAACTTGTCAGCTAAAGTGTTTCACAAAGCTGTCTTTGCCAAAATGAGCGACAACTTCCGCGACAAGCGAGTTGTCACTCCTTCGAACCCGTCATATCTTTTTTAATGTTGTAAAGCGCCACCACAAGTCAGTTTGTTGCTACTCTATGGGCCACGAAGTGTAAGATTAGTTTCAATATCATTTTGTAAAAAATATAAATGAGTTCGGTACGTACTACGTAATTCTCTTGGATGCTCATCCTTTATAAAGCATGAATCCCTTAGCATTGATCTACCACGAGGCCTATGCTCTTCACTTGTCTGTCATTTTAGTTCCAATAATATTCGATAGGTGACCTCATCATTGCGTCATATTTCATTGGCTATCTATTTCTATTCATCTTTGGGGAGGGGGGCGGGGGTTAAAACCGAATTAGCCATGTACGCCTACTTGTAGGCTTATGGATAGGCTTAAAAGATATATTGTGGACGTTTCTTAGAAATTTTGAAATTTAAGTCACATTTTCTTCTTCCATTCAAACCATAATTATTGTAAGCAAACCAATTAAATTACCCTTTTTGATTGAAAACAGCAATGAATTTTTTTTATCCATATCATTTCTGGTAAACAAAGCTGACAATTAATCAATTCAAATTCAAAGTTTATTAAAATACTCTTCATAAACACATTTAAAACATACAAATACAGAATGGAATGATAAAAAACAAAATAGTGATATAACATGAAATGCTGAATATGAACCTCTAATTATTAAAATTGCCCATATATGAACAGCTGGCCAAAGAGAAGGGGAAGTGGTTTCTTGAAGAAGAGCGATTATCTATCGCTAAAGAAACTTGGAATTGAAAAAACAAAAGGAAAACTTAGATTGAAAGTACAACATCATTTGTAGACTATGCCTAAATGTTGCGATAATTTGGATTTGACGGATGGTTAGCGAGAAGAGCTCCTAAAAATAGC